TATACAATCAAGATATAAGTAGGGCTGTAAAAAGCTATAAATTGTTTTTTGGTAATTCTCTGCTGTATTATGTGAAATCTATGGATTGTTTGCTTGGTTATTCCGGTTTGCTCTGTTATATGTCAGTTTCTACTATGGGATATTAACTTGATCAATCTCTTCTAAATGCCAAGCTTGAAGCTCTTGGTTGCCTTTCCCCTTCTATCAGTAATTATGATGGTAAAGAACCAAGTGTATATTCAAGCAACGGATCAGAACTGAAATCTACATCAAATGATGCTTCATACAACTGGCTCTCGGGAAGTTTGGCTAGCTGTTTTGAGTCTCATACTAAATTAAATTTGGCAATGCAATACATTTCAAAAATTATACGTGAACATCCAAATTGGGAAAGATTCAAGTTAGTGTCATCTTGTATACCATCAGGGTTCAATAAAGAAAGTGGCACTCATCAATCCATTCCTCTACTGGAAGAACTAGAGAAGAAGCTCATGACCGGGATTTCCTTTCTTGATGAGAGGTATTCAGTGAAGGCCACTGACTTGAAGACTATGGTAATGTTTTGGTGCATTAGTTTGGTTACTTCTTGCTACTCAGAAATGGCCTATTTTCCCTTTGTTATTTTCCATTTGCTCGTAATATCCATTTCCTTGTTCATTTATGAGGGCTGCTTACCTCTTTCTGCAGATGTTTGTCTTTTCCTGCAATAATGGGATGTTGTTTCTTGGATACCACGTGTTGCAAGGCCTGCTTTTCCCAAAACATACACATGACCTGCTTAACATTTCTGATAGTGTTGCTTCTGTTCAGCTGGACCTTCTCCTAAAGGCTGCTGAAGAAATATGCAATGGGTTTGCTCGCTGTGTTGTTGGATATAACATTACTGTCTCTGCATTTATTCCTGCTCCCAAACTTTCAGATGGATGTCAGAGAAGTAGCATTACCCAACTTAATGCTTGGGATTTTTATTTAGAGAGCCTTCGACATTCTCTTGGGACCCTTAGACTGTTTCTGAAGGTCTTGAATTCCAATGGTTTATTGATAGATGACATCACCTTGAAGGCATCTGATGTTCTAGACCATCTGGAATACTGCATCCGTTTTGCTTCAGCATGGTTGAGGAGGAGTCCTGAAGATCTTCTGATGATGAGTCAACCAATATCAAATGGACTCAATGGAATACCATCTTCTTCTAAATTTAATACAGCTCCTCTAAGAGTGAATTTGGTGGTGCATAATGATTCGTCTGCTGTTGACAACGAGCTTCCTGTTTCTGCCAGCAGGCCACAGCTTCACAATTTTACTGATGCCAGAGTACACTTGGTTCCAAGTGATGAAAGATGGCAACTGATTGGTTGTTGTTTGTGGAGACGCCTATTCGTTTTTACTAAAGCTCTCCTATGCAACCATGCAGGAAAGGACTCTAAGACTGGTGATTCTTCAGATGTACTACTGTCTGGAGAGCCTTCCCGGTGTTATAGTTTTGGAAGAACCCATTCCCTGAAGCCAATTGATATGCTGCCGAGCTTGTTGTCTGAATTACTCTTGAATGCATTAGCATATACTTCATCTGGTCTGAACAAAGAGTTTTCCTTCTTCATCAGGCTGAAACTAGAGAAGGATTTACCTGTTCTTGCTCTTGCTTGGCTGCAGGATTCAGGCTCTTCATGTTCTGGAGCTCTAGTCTGTGAAAAGAATCAAGAAATTGGTAAATCAGAAATGTTTCCCAATGAAAAGAGTGTGATGCCTTGTGATATACTTTGGAATGTTTTTGCTAGCCAGGAAGATGTACGTGAAATTCTTACAAAAGAGAAAATCAAGTTTTACCAGACTCTTGGTCGCAAGTCGTCTAGAGGCTGGAAAGATGTACAGAAATGTATCATAGCAAAGGACGGAAATGATGATATTATTGGACATCACCAAGAGGGAGGAGCTAGAAATATTTCTGATGGGAGGGTAATAGATGGTTCCTCTAGAAATTGGATCTTTGATGGCAACAGTTTTCTGGGACCCAAAAGAAAAAGTGTCAGCCCTCCCAGGGATAGGGTCTCTTCTTTCAATTATCCAAAGGAAGTCCTCAAGAGAAATGGTGAACTTTTGGAGGTAGGTCTCTTTACTTAGTGGGTCACATCATATGAATGAGGTAGTAGACTTTGGGAGATAGCCTCGTTGTTATTTTTATGTTGGTGATTCAGTTTCAATTCCGTGATTCCATTTCCATAAAAAAAAAAAAAAATGTTATGATACTTTCATTAGGGATAAATTATCTTAAAGGTATCTCTATATCTTATACCTTTCATTTTGACATCAGGCAATTTGTATCAATTCCTGTGATCAAAATCAAGTTGCAGTAGCCAGCAACCGCAAGGTGAACATCCCTGCCGAAATTCTAGTCTCATGTTTGATTCCAAATACGGATTCAAAACTTTTACTCAATGCAAGCTTGGCACCTTAAAAATGTCTGTCAGCCTTTCCAATGTATCTCATGAATGGAATATTCATGCAGAATATATTGGGAGCAAAAGTTTTGAAAGGTATACTTAGGAAGTTCATGGTTTGAATCTTGGTACTCAAAATTCAATGACTACCAGTCCAAAGACTAGCTTATGGATTGTAAGCATTTCCTTTAAGACTTGGGGTACTATACATTGGATAAGAACATAAAATTTGGCAAATCAGAATTTCAAAAGATTAAACTTTGGATTGCAAACAAATCTTTGATGGCAAAAATGGTTCCTCCTATATCAATATAACCCGGAAATACAAATACTCCAGTGGAAAAAGGATCCCCTATAACCAATGTCATAATTGTTTTAGGGGAGGCTTGCCTTTTTATTTGAAAAAGAGAGAAAATAAACTAAATAACATAAATGTGATTATGAGCATTGAACAATATCAGCAAAAATAAGGATAGATGGCTGAAAATTAGTTGCCCATTTCATTTTGTACCTCTTGAGTCATTGCTATGTATGACATACCTCTCTACCTTCATGCTGAACATTTTTTGGAATTCAAAGCAAATCTTACTTTACCACTCTTTTTTTGTTTGGAAATCTAATGATACATTATTATAGGAGGAACATATACATTGAGTCTTGTGTGGTGGACAAAAAAGGTGACCTATATGTGCGGTAAGATAGAGACATATCCAAAAAGAAGGGAAGTTCAGTAGCATGAGATCGGTTCCTACAAGGGGTCTCTGCAAACTCTCCCTCGCGCAAGAGAGGCCCATGCCTATTTCCTTCTCTTGGAACATGATGAAAAGTTACAAATCTCACTGCCACCTAGGTCAAGTATCGCCTCCATGGATCAGATCCACTTCAAGTAGGGATTCTTCCCATCCATCTAATGACATTAAGAGGAGTCAGCTTTCAAGAAGGCCAGCAACAAGAAAATTCAAAGGAAATCTCTATGCTGGACAGAATAGCCATGGCCGTGGGCACTGTAGCACCAAAGTACTAAACATAGTTGTTAGTGGCAGGAGCGTGGGAGCGGGAGCAGAAGTGGCGGATCATTGGTTTCTAAGAGTTCTCTAGTTTGGGCTCCATGATGGCTCCCATACAACAAATGTATAAAACTAAAGAAATTTTATAGAATAAAAGATTAATCGCAATTTTTTTGAAAATATTATATACCAAGTAATGTATTAAAAATAACTTTAATTATACTTGTAGGGGTTTATGGCCTTTAAAGGTCTATGCACTTGGTTTTTTATAAAAGATATTTTGGTATCCCCCATGTATTTGTACTTATGCATATTCTATTTATATAATTCTCTCGATTTGAGTGGGTGTGTTGGAAGGATGAAAGAGTTCATGTGAGTGAACCCTACTTGGATGAAAGAGGCCATCAGGGGAAGTAGGCTCTACTTGGGTGAAAGAGACCATTAGAGCATGCATGAGTGGGCTAGATTTGGATAAAAGAGGCCATTGGAGCTGGACTATACTTGAGTGAAAGAGGACATTAGAACCGGTTGGAGTATTTCTTATCTAAGACATGGTGGGTTTTGTTACTCTCACCTTGGCATTCGACTAGGCCCTGGTTAAATGAGTTGAACCACACCCTCGGCTGCATAGGCTTAGACCCTATGATGTGCATCTCCACGGAGGATTTATGGGTACCCATTCAACCAATGGTGGATCAAGTACAACACTTGTTAAGATCTGCGAGTTAGTTCAAGTGGAAGGCTCAAAAAGGGCATGGAGTATGCCCAAAGGGACATGGTTGGAAGTAGTGAGAAAGGATATGGGGATTTATGGCATTACTAAAAGTATGGCCCTTGATAGTGCAGAATGGCGGATCAGGATTCGTGTAGCCAATCCCAAATATTTGACTTCTCTCTCACATTACAAGATCTCTCTCTCTCTCTCTCTCTCTCACACTATATGATAGAGTACCTTGAGATTTAATTTGGTGGGTGTTAAAAAGAATGGAGTCTCCAAATACTATATCGACTTAGTGAGAGATATGTACGAGGGAGCGCTAACTAGTGCGCAAATAAGTAGTTGAGAGATGAATGAGTTTTTAGCGATAATAGGTCTATTTGTCGGCGTTTAGCCAAATACCTATCTGTCTTAGTTATGGACGACCTAACTAGGCACCTACAAGATGAGGTACCGGGGTGTATGTTGTTCATGTTAGACGTAGTTTTGATCGATGAAACCCGAAGCAGCGCTAGCACAAAGTTAGAGCTTTGGAGGGATGCACTAGAGTCTAAAGGTTTAAAAATTAGTCGGACTAAGACTGAATATATGGAATGCAAGTTTACTAATAATAGGAGTAGAGACGAGAAAGTAGTTAAGATTTTCGCCCAAGAAATACTAAAAAGAGAGCACTTTCCATATCTTGGGTCGATAATCTAGGAAGATTCATAGATTGAGGAAGATGTGGCACATAGTATTAAAGCTGGGTGGGCAAAGTGGAGATGTGCAACTAGAGTTTTATGTGATCGCCTCATACTAATGAAGCTGAAGAGGAAATTCTATAGGGCAATTATGAGACCGGCTTTGCTTTATGGGGCGGAATGTTGGGCGGTCAAGACACAACATACCCATAAGATGAGTGTAGCTGAGATAAGTATGTTGAGATGGATGAGTGGCAATACAATAAGGGATATAATTCGAAATGAATACATTTAGGAGAACTTAGGTGTAGATCACAAGTGGTATTTAATGCTCCATGTGGGTGATGTCACACCCCTTCTAACGACTAAAAAATACCCTTACTAAAAAAATGTTGTATTATAAAACAAGGCTATATAAGTCTCTAAAATTTGTTGAGTACAATTATAAAATTCTCTATTGTATGAGCACCCTAACATAACC